TCTGGCGATCACAAAGTGTTTTTAGCACTGAACATCAAGTCTTTCCTCGGCATCGCGCCTGGATGTCCTGCTGTGTCAAGTCTCGAGCCTCCCTTTGAGATCCATTTCTTCTCTTCATCTGTTGCCTCGTCTATTTAAGCGACAGGGGCTCACTCATGACATGTCCCTTCATCTTCTTTGCGAGGGAGACACATGGATGGATGGATACATGCCTACTGTAGACTACTGTGAGCTGCCATTTAACAGGAGGTGTGTGGGCGAGCCTGCCCATCTCCGCTTTTAGAAACAGCATTATTTGCTTGTTCTGGGGGCAGATATGACTGGTTTCCTTGCAGCAGGCACATGTGACCGTTCCTCCACAAACAATAAAAAAGGCGGATATCTCAGGCTGCAGACTGGCGGCCCTTCCTGCTCTTTAGCACGGATTCCGCTGTTATTGTGTGGCTCTTCTGACCTGCGTGTCACTGAAAGTCTAGTCCATGCTAGTGTCACCCATAACTTTTCTGGGGGGAATGTTTATCCTATCTGATGTGCCTTTACGTAGGAGAACTAAGACTTTTAGACAAGCCTCAGCCCTACGCTCCTCAACATTAACAAAAGCTACATCTTTAATTAAAATATTATTGTGAATTATTCAAAAATTAGATGTTTAAACGCTGTGTATGTGATGAAGCAGGGCCATAGCCATGAAGTCAACACTGGGGGGGACCAAATCTGCTGGGGGGCCCCAGAAAAATAGTTAAAAAATTGAAAACCTGTTTCTTATTATTTATAGGACGCATGTACAGCCATACAGCGTACAAATATGCAATACATGAAAGGTATGACTGTCTACATAAATTATGCATGCAGCGTAACATAAGTGACTCACACTATTACGCATATTACATTGTCTTTCCATTTTTTTAAAACAGCTTAAAGTAATAAAAGAGAAAAAGTACAGTGTTTGACATTGACTGTACCTACCCACAGCAGTCAACCAGCGTCTTCTGCTGGGGTACGGCAACACCACTTGGACAAACCATGCTCAGAACTGCAGTACACTGTAATACTAGTATCGGTAGTGATAATTGCACAATAATTGTTTAGTTTATTCAAAATCATGATTACTTTTGTTTATGTTCAGTTTGGACTTAAGTGACTGTTCCCGGTCATACTTTTTTTATTTACATTTTATATCAATATATTGAGGGGGTAATTTGACATTGAGCATATTTGATTAATGATGTGTCCTACCCAATAAATATTAAATCACTGCCTTGTTGTGAAGACTGCATCCTAAGACTGTATGTACATCTACAATCTAAGGTTTCAAACAAGGGTATAAATGGGATAGTCAAAGCTCTCTTCATCCAAACTATTCTCCATTGGTTGTAAGGAAACATGAATGCAAAAGGAAAGTAGTGTCATCACATCACCTTTAGGCCTGGCCTTCAATCTCCAACAACCACCTGTATACAATCAGACAACAGAAGCACAATCTCAAATTATTTTTCAGACGAAATTTATTTGATACTTAGATACAATATGTAGACTTAATGGCACACGACAAGATCTCAGATAGAAAAGGCACAAAATATCATACATTCACTACCATGTCCCCTGAATTTCAAAAGCTGATCAGAAACATTTAAAAAGCGAGCAAGTTCGGAAATTAAACAGTTGCGGATTTCATAAATTAGGTTAAGACTGTACAGTTGCTTTGTGAGTACTTCCTCTCCCCTCCATATCATTGTCTTGACAGATGGTAAACAATTGATTTAGGCTGTTCTTTTTAGTCAATTGCTTCTCTATTAAGCAGACAGAAGGAATCATTAAGATAGACCTGGAAACATTGATTACACTCAAGACCAACTGTTTCAGACTTTTCGCTCTTTGAGACATATGCATACAGTTCCAATACAGTAACAAAGGCTGACTGGTTGTCTTATATACTGTGATAAAAACGAAACAGGCTATATTACAACCACGTCTTATCGTGTTGACACTGTTTAACCATATTTCCCACAGATAAGGGTATGGTATGGCAAAAGGAAGTCAATTGTTTGGGGTAACTGATGAGCAACAATATCAAAAAAGATCCTCCTGTCATATTGTTCACCTGAGAAGATTTTGTTGTAAAGTAAGAATGTTGCCTCAGACAATCGCTTCCCAAGTTTCCTATATTACCAGCCTACGATTGCTGAATTCATGTAAACATATCGGAAATCCATTCGCACTCTTTGGACAAGCCAATAACCCATTACTGAGGAAGTGGATCACATTCCCTCATACAATACAGACAATAAAAACATTAGGATCTTTGAACCCACATTATTTCATTACATCGGTCTTGAAAGGAAAATCTGGAAAATAGATCTCTAAAAACAAACCCCACAATTCCTGTAGCACAATTTAAAGGGACAGTTCACCCCCAAATCAAAAGTACATAGTTTTTCTCTTATCTGTAGTGCTATTAATATGTCTAGATTGTTTTGGTGTGAGTTGCTTAGTGTTAGAGCCATTAGCCATAGAGATGTCTTCCTTCTCTGGAATATAATGGAACTAGATAGCGCTTGGCTAGTGGTGCTTAAAGCCCCAAAAATACATGAAGAAAACTCAACAGCAATGTCTCTTACCATAAATCATGGGGTACTCAATCCACAGACCTTGTTGTGAGCAGTTTAATGTAGGATCTTTTTTCTTTCTACCAAAATACACCTGTCATCCAAATCACAGCGCAGGAGGAAGCATGTATGTACTGCTAACTCACCTGACACCACTGAGCTAACTAACATTACAGCTCAGCTGAAGAGGACGGCATTAATATTTACATCTCGTGCAGTCGCAAGCACAAGCCTCTTGTCCATGAGTAGATACATGCTTCCTTTGGCATGGTGATACAGCTGGCTGATGTAGTTTGGTAGAGAGAAAATAGTTCCTACATTAGCTTGCACACAACAAAAGTCCATGGTTTATCTCGAGTAAGCGGGTCATGATTTCTGGAACGAGACATTGCTGTTGAGTTTTTTTTGTTTTTTTTTTTAAATGTAGTGTTTTGGTGCTTTGAGCACCACAAGCCAAGTGTCCTTTAGTTCCATGATATTAGAAAGAAGGCAGACATCTCTACAGTCGATATCTCCAACACTTGCCAACTCACACCAGAACAATCTAGCTTTATAAACAGTACTAAAGATAAGAGGCAGAATATGCATTTTTCATTTTGAGGTGACCTGTCCCTTTAAGACATTGACACATCACAAAAAAACACAAAAAACAAGGATGAAATGAGGAAAACACTTGTCTTATATATGTTTGTAACACTAGTGATAATCAACACTGTTGGCCAGTGCCACATGATTCTGAAGCCTAAGGGGAGAAAGTGCACTGCGGAGTTGAAGAGTCATTAATATGGCGTATCCATCACACAGCTGATCTGAGGCAAAGATGGAAATCTGCAGCTCTTTGCACCAACAGCAGTGTACAGGCTGTTTCGGCTGCAACTTACACATTTTTGCTTGCTGAAGGAATTGCACTTGCTGAGGCGCTGCGACATATATCAGGAAACATAAAAGGGAGTCACTTGCAAATCTACACCTAGAAGAAAATAAAGAGTCATTACAAACACCTTTGCTCATGAAGCTCTGTCCGCCAAGATTTACTCCTAACAAAAAGCAGGCTAATATCTAGCGCTAACCTTTAGGTGTTAGGAAAATTGCCGGTCAGAAACAAGGGAGGTAGCTAGAGCAATAGCTGGCAGCGGAGGTACAACAGGTATAATAGGTCCGATAGGTACAAAGGTCTGGAGATTAAGGCAAGCAGTGTGTGGTGCTGGTGTCAACTGGGCACTGGTTAGGCTGTTGTGGATCTGTAAACACACCTAGAATGAAGCAGGAGGGAAGAGGCCTTTTTGGAAGCCGTCTACCTCGGAGAACCAGATGAGTGAGACAGGCCTCTGGGGGTGGGCTGGGTGAGGTGGGGCGAGCAGTGCGCTGCAGTTTGGCTTGTGACAGAGGCTGGAGGGGTGTAGCACCATCTGTGGCTGTTTTTCAGTGCAGTTTTTTCTCTGGGGACATCTGTTAGGGAGGTGAATGCCGTGTTGTATGTTATGTGTGAATATCTTCAGAATAGGGAGTGTGTGTGTGTGTGTGTGTGTGGGGGGGGGGGGGGGGGGGGGGCAAAGAAAAAAAAAAATCAGTGGGAGCTGTAAACACTTCCAAAGTAACATCCTTTTAGCTGAACAAGCTTGCATGGATCTGCCCAGCTTGAGCTTTTAATCAGTCATCTTTTGATCAGTCACTGCAAAGGCATCCACACCTGTGAGTGTGTGTGCGTATGTCTGAGAAACAAACTTGCATGTTTATCCTCATGTGCGCCATGTATACGTGTCATATGCATGTGCGTTTCTATTAAATCCGTATGAGAGGGAGAGTGAATACCTGTACGGGCATGATTGTCAGTGTTAATAAGATGCAGTGCTTTCGGTAAGGTGGGGTGATGGGGGGGAAGGATTACAATGGGCCAAGACGCCAAGGGTGTTAGTAATCTCTTAATGGAGGCTGTGGCAGGAAGGAACATGAGTATGACAAACAGACAGACTCATGCTGGGGAATGCAAACCACTGAGCCACAGTGTGTACAGTTAAGACCGGGGAGGAGACAAAGACGGGTCAGACAGGGCATCATCTTGAGAGGAATGTTTTGGAGGAAAAAGGAAAATCAAAGTAGGACAGAAGGAAATATTTGGTCCAACACCTGCCACTGTGGAATCGAGCCAATGAATTTGCTTTTTTGTAAAAATGGATCTCTACTGCAAAGTAGCACCTCTCCATATCTCTCCAGAAGACTAGGTTCTTGTCAATAACATGATGCTGATAGCTGGCCTTTCTCTGTCCAGGAGATCAAAATTAACCAGAGTCTTATCAGCTAGGATCGTGTTGGTTTCTAGAAATCAATTCCTCAGTGTATAGAATGTCTATGATTGGGTGCAAGTCAGGGATCTGCTCTATTGATTGCAGGTAGCAGTTCTGGTTAAAAAGTGGCACCAAAGGAGCCCTCTTAGCAGTCTCCATCGCTGCTGTCATCGTGGGCGTTTAAAATCCTTTTCATTCATCTGCAGCACTGGTTCCTCGTACTTCTCCCTTTCTACGAAGCTGTGGGGGAAACAGGAAAACAGTCACCACGTTAGATTTATGTAAACTAAACAGGTGAGAGGCAGGTTTAGTGGATGCTTGAACGTCAGTGGAACCCTTTACAAATGGTTGCTGGTTACTGTGCACAGGTCTGGACTCATTTTTATTCATTATGTATGACTTGAGTTTTACTTCTCGTATCACAAACCATAAAAAATGCAACAAATGTTATTTTGCAAACTGAAATCTTGAGCCTTTCCTTAGAAATCTGCTCCAACAGCCCTTATCAAGCCCCTTGTTTGTCTTCTAGGTAGATAACAGCATCACTTTCAAATTCTCCCACCCTGAGGCTGATGGCTTTGGAAAGTCAATTAGTGGCAGAATCTGATAGCCGAACACCTTAATGGAACGGTTCAAACTAACAGTGCCTCTAAACAGAGGAATAGACAGATCTGATGAAATGGCATGAGGATTCACCCTCCGACTTCTCCATCCTTTTTCCCCATCCTCCCTCCCTTTTTTCTCAATCACAGCACAGACTCCTTCTCAACTGCAGAATTCCATTTGTATGTTAATGAGGAAAAAAGGAGCCATCTTGAAGCCACCCCCCCACCCCCCCCTTCTTGCCCTTTCCTTCCCTCATGCCTCCCCCTTCTACACCAACAGCACCCGACGAGTATACACAAAAAAAGGGAAGACATGACTGTTGGTGCGTCGTCTCCACAATGTGAGTTTCTCATTCACCCAGGGCAGTCTTGTGTGGCAGCCTCTGTATGTAGGCACCGTGTCGTCCCATACAGTCACAACTGTGACCCTGCTAACCCTTCAGCCCAGAGGTTCAGGCCTCGTCTGCCTTCTCGCCACAACCCTCTTTGATGGCATCCGCCTGTTTACTTACTCCAAGGCAAAATGAGAAACACATGCTGAATTGGGCGAGATTTGAGGGGGGGTGCTAAGCACAGAATGCTGCATGTTGGTAGTAAGCCAGGAATGTTTGAGCCTGGCCCACTTTGGCCAGTCCAGCCCGGATTCCTCCCTTTTCTCCTTGTACGGCCAAAAGCTCCCAGACTGATATTTAGAGTACTTCCAAGAGTAAGGTTTACAGAGAATGTGATTCACAGAAATTAAAGCCTGTGATTTAAAAGAGGTCTGTTTTTCTTCTCTGCCTTGTAGTCCTCTAGAAGGAAGCTCTAGTTTGCAGATGCTGGTCTTGCGCAGGCCTTCTGTGTATGTTTTTAACTGCTGGCCACCTCTTAAAAGATAGCATGTGTGATTCTGAGAAAAGTTTGCCCAGATGTTATGCCACTTGCATGGTGAGTGGGTACACAAACGCAGCAGGAACTCATACAAACCACGGTAGGAGATTTTCACTGCATCAGCAAAACACCTACCGGCCATAAACATACGTCATATTTCTCTGATCTGGTGTTATTGATAACTAATTCACAGTGAGCTAGGGAGTTGTTAGTGAAAGCATATACACACACGTGCAGATAAAGCCACAGTGGACTAAAAGCCCCTTCACAACACCAAGGAGTAAAGCGAGAAAGCAGTATAGGCATGCAGCAACACAGAAACCCCACACGGAGCAGAGAAAGCGTCCAAGAGACTGGCCTCTACCAGCTAGAACTTACACAGCAACACTCAGAGCTACACCTGGCCTGGCTACTCGTCAGCAGCCTTTGTACCTCGCACAGAGCCCTTCTTACGCATCTGGACAAAAATGAAATACAGGAAATCACAGAAACAGGGATTAGGAAGGCTGTGGGGGCAGCTTGGACTGGGTAACCATGGAAACATTTTATAAAATGTTAAGTATGTTCTCCCAGTTGTTAATTAAGCATCCTGAGATGTACTCTGAAATGCAATGGGGGTCAAGGAAGTGAAATGTGTACTGCGAGATGACAACAGAAAAAAGCGTGGCAAATTGTTATGTTACTTTTTGGGAAGCCAGACAGTGGTGTTAATGGCAAAATTGGGATGTCATTGTCATTCTCTTTCACTGCAATATCTGAGTACTCCACTTTACATCAGTGCAGTAGTTATTATGATCAGGGTATGGAAAAGCACACAAAAGCATAAGTTAAAAATGTGATTAAGCTGCAAAACATTTTCCAGCTGCCTTCCTATTTAATCACGCAAGCACAGTCCTTGTATGTTCAACTTATATTATGTCTACTGTAGAACTGCATGATATGCAAAAAAAATCATATTGTGATTATTTTGACGGCTATTGTGATTGCGATATGAGTCGTGATGTTATTGGGAAGGGTAATTTTTGCATTTCATCTTCACTGGAAAAAAAATGAAAATATTAATGATGATGTGATTTTTGCTGAGGTCAGGACCAAACAACCATGTTCCCACATCTGGAATGTGATTTGTGGGCAGGAGCATCTTTGTAGCACCACAATGTTTCATTTGTTATAGTATGTCGTGACACATTTTACCTTTTTAAAAAAGTGCATCTCCTACGATTTGGATACTGCACTTAGCTACTGCGATTTTGTTTAATTGTACAGCCCTAATCTAATGATTGGAAGACAGCAGCTCCACCTGGATAACAACTAGGTGTTGCACAGGTTCATTTCAAGCTTGGGGCAAGTATTAGTCTTGAAAATGTAGCTTTTTCTTTGCGTTTTTGCCTTTCGTCCACACTCAAACTGTGTTTTACCTCACTGAAAACAATCCTTTTGCAAAACTCGGTCAAGATTCCCAAAAACTCAGTTCTCAGTGTTGACATGTAGACAGGGAAAACAGAATTCTTGGGTTGAAATATCAGCATGTGAGGCATCACAAATGAAGCATCATTTCATGCAGTGGCAGACTTAACCAAAATCGTGCTGACTCTAGCCTCGCTAACAGGGCTTTTTACAAGTTTACGCACAAATGTAAACAGTAAATGGACTGCACTTGTATAGTGCTTTTTCTAGTCTTCTGACCACTCAAAGCCCTTCTACACTACATGTCACATTCACACGCACATTCACAGCCACCTGCTACCCAGTAACCATTCACACGCACTCACACACCGATGGAACAGCCATCAGGAGCAATTTGGGGTGCAGTATCTTGCCCTAGGACGTTTAGACGCACAGTTACCTCTTCCGTGGATTAGGCGATATGGCCCTAAAATAATATCACGATGATCTGGCACACCCCTACTCTTCCAATATATTGAAGATAAGATGTCACAATGTACTACGGAGGTCACTGCTACAGGTAGCCTTCTGATAATAGCTTTTTTTGGGCTTTTGATTGGCCAACATCATCTTCTTTGCATTGCTTTAGGCTTTCAGTTATATCGCTGCCTGTTGTTTAGGCATGCTCTTTACAGCGCTTCAATTGTATTTTTGTGTTTTCATTTTTTTCATAACAGTGTATGTGTGGACGGGAATTTCTTTGGGGAACAAAGGAGGGAAAAATACCCATGTACATGTGGACTAGGCCTTAGACACAAAGTGCCAGAGGCTGTACGCTCTTCATGTTGGAGACAGTTCTGTGCACGCAACCCATCACTGACCAATAATATGTACATCAGATGCACAAGGTTCAATTTTTAACTGTGGGCCATTTTTCATGCACTCACCTCTTCCAGCTCCTTCTGCGTCTCTGCCTCCATCCGTCGGATATCATCCATATTCAGCTCCACCCACTTATCAATCCAACAGAAGAGCTGCCGGTGGAAGTTGGTGAAGATCCTCTTCTCTTGCTAAGGGAGACAGTGGTAGTCTTGGTTAGGGCTGGGTGGTATGATTAGAAAAAATATTAATATCACATTATTAATAAGAATATCTTTAAAATGTGTGTATTCACAATATGTCTGAACAATATGGGAAAATATTTAGTCTTTTTTTAGAATGATATTGTGATTGCAATTTTTTTTTTTAAACATTCCTTATCTTCTGTATTATTCACTCTATATAAGCTATATTTTATTCTATACTATAACCAACACAACACTGGACACAGTCAACATATACACTGCTCTTTCATGTGGGCCAGGCCAATGTGTTATGATGAAATATGATGAACTGATATAAGAATTGATATGAGTGGCATATCTTTATTTAACTACTGGACTGTAAAAACACCTTCAATCACAGTAGAATATTTAAGCTTGTAAATTCAAACCATGTCAACATGTAATATAACCATCATGACTTAAATGAAATCTGAAAAACAGGCCTGGTGTAAACACAAAAAAAAATATTTAACATCTACTGATCTCCAGTCAGTTACAGTAAAAACAAAACAAAACACTCAAGTGTCCACTGACTATTGCTCTACCACTTGCCTTGTTGCAAAGATTTTGTTAACCGTCCCTGTTTTAGCCTCCAGACAGTGGTCAAGAAGCACACCGACTCTCTGCTCTGATCGCCAACACTTGTCTGCTCTCGGCACATTCACCATCACTCTCTTTCGACCACACACTCACTACAGCAAACAATGTAATACATAGACATGTGGATTGCATTTAAACCCAGCCTTTGCCGCTTTTACACATTAGTAATGCGAGCATCAAAGCTTGTGCTTGGCATTTTACAAGTTTTTTTCTTCATCTAATCTCATTCAAATATGTCATGTGGAGCACTGGGCAGCATGTGTGCATGCGAAGGCTATGGGACCAGTTGTTTCAGACTGTTTTTTTAAAATATATAATCGTAGCTGTTGCCATTTGGAAATTGCACTCTATTACATCACAATGTCAGTTTGAACAATTAATCATTCAGTTGTAATTCGCAATATGAAAATGTATGTAAACTGGCATAAATTACATGTGACAAAACACTTTCTAAAACAGGAACATAATATGATCATATCATCATGATACATTTGTACTGGAAGTCATAAAACAATAAAACTTAATTATCACCCCATGTCTTGTTAAATCAGACAGTAAAGAAGCAAAGAACTGATTTTGCAAACTGGAGCTGTCAGAGCCCAAACGCAACTCCAGAGCCAGGAACATTGACTGTGTGAAGTTCAATTGTGTCAATATGTCATTCTAACCTCATGGATGAAGCCCTCCACTTTGTTCTGCAGGCCCCACCACTTGAACTTGACTGTGACCAGTTTGTAGGCACACATCTTTGGGCAGTCAGTCTTAGCAGCCAGCTCTTTCTGTAAGGAGAAGAACAGAAAAAAGAACAAGACTTACAACCCATCACTTTTTAAAGTGCAGCATCAGAATAAATAACACAGTAACAAACTTGACAGAAACTTTCCAATGAGAGAATAATCCTAAAAACAGCAGAAGGCTGAGAGAATATTATTTTAGACTAATCTTGGCTGCATTCAAAGCTGAAAATCATTAATACATAATGCTTTGGGTATGGAGCTTGCTGAAATAATTATCAATATGAAGATGTGCTGTGCAGAGATAAAAGTGCCCTAATCTACAACACACTTTCTAAATCCATCCGCTGCTTGCACTCTGCCTCCCTCTGAAGAAGAGAAGAAAAGAAGGAGGGGGGTTGGGGCAGAGCAAAGTGGATAAACTCCAGATGAAGGGACCATTTCTCTGCCTCCGCCCTGACAGCGACACCGTTCCCGACAGGCATGCCTTTGTGGCCATGGAAGGCAGATAAAACGGTGCTCGCGAAGCGATAAGGGCGTCGCGGTGCAAAGCTGGTTACATTATTAACACCTAGGACCTCCTCGCCCCCAGAACACACATACTCTCCCTCCGAGAACACCTGTTTAATTAATCACTTCATTCTGGCTAGGCATTCCAAGAGAAAATGCCACAGACCCGCCTCAATCACCCTCATCCCACTGCTGTTTGATGCTACGATCATGGAGGGGAGCGGGAGAGGGGAAATGAGAAACATTTCTAAATTTGCAGTGGGTTTAGAAAAGTTGTCATCGCTAAAGGAGAACTTCACATGAAACGGATTCTACATCAAAACACTTACGGTGACATTTCTTCTCTCCCTCTCTGTGCCCCACTCAAAGGAGCAGAAGTTTTCAGAAATACAAAGGGTACCGATATGCAAGCATGTGTGCATGCAGAGATAGACAAGAGTTTTATTGCTCTGAGAAGCTGGCAGAAATTGTGCCTCTGTTGTCACATAACTACTTTTTTTTCACCTTTTCAAAAACAGTCTTTTTCCATGTCCACAGCGGACGGGAAAGTGATCTAATTAAAAACACAAAATAAAAAGTTGTGCTTCTTTATTCATACTTTTTAAAAGCTGTTTGGCTGCCTTTGTTCTGCAAAAATTCTTGAAGCAGAGGAAAGTTTCCCATGGTGAACTTTGAGGGCTCCGCTGCAGAGTAGAAATTCTCAGCGCTCTAACAGTGAGCAGGACCCATTTGTGAGGCTGCGGGGGTAAGGCAGGGTTTAGAGGGGAAAGCAACAAAACTCCTGACAAAGTTTCTCATCTTATTGACTTATTACTCTCTATCAAAAGTACATCAGTCTTTATACGGAGCTGCTGCTTGTCAAATTTAGAATCAATGTCCGTACGCAGTTCTTTCCCATTTCTGTCTTCATCTCCCGTCACACACAATGTCTGGCAGACGGAGCTCTGAGTAGAACCTTTATCTGACCCGGTGACGAGAAATTTCTATTACATCCAATTAGGGCTGAGAAAGAGGTGATTTGTCTTCATCAAATTGCAGCCTTACAATTCTGCAGACCCCACTCCAGCTCTGTGCTCTCCTGTGCACAGAGCTGTTCTGATTATTACCGACAGTGGTGCTGGTGTGGAAAAGGACTCTTTAATGTGAAAGAAATCTCTACAAAATTAAACAAAAAAATAAAAACACAACATAACTGTTCAAATATTCGCCCCCTTCATGTTACATTTAGTAGTGATGTTTCTAGCCTACAGCCTTGGGTTTACGTGAATACGCCTGCATCCGTTTTGCACATCTGGACACTGCAATTTCTCTCCATTCTCCTTCTCAGGCTCTGTCAAGTTGCAAAGGGACCATGAGTGAAAAGCATTTTTTGAGTCCAGCCACAAACTCTTGACTGGATTGAGGTCTGGACTCTGACTCTGTAACTCTAGGACATGAACTTTTTTTTTTTTTTTTTTAGGAATTTCCAGAGTAGCTTTGGCTTTATTTTTGGGGGTTGTTATCTCCTTGGAAAAATAAATCTTCACCCAAGTAGCAGTTCTCTTGTAGACTGCAGCAGGTTTCCCCTCAATGATTTCCATCTTTTGCTGCATTCATTTTGCCATAAGCCTTCCAAGACCTGCTGCAGAGGGGCAACCCCACAGGATAATGCCGCCGCCACCAAACACCAGACAAAAAGCTCAATCTTTTGTTTTCAGACCACTGAACTTACTTCCACTATGTTTGAGAGTCTCCTACATACCTTCTGGCATTGCTCGCCAAAATGGGTTTTATTTTTAACAGTGGGTTTTTATTTGTCGTGGGTTTCTCCAACAATTCTTACAAGCGTAATGTCTCCCATCCCAGCCATTGAACCCTGTAGCTTCTTCAGAGTTGGCACAGGCCTCTCTGTGGGGAGGACAGACTGCTCTCGACAGATTTACAGATGTTCCATATTCTTTCCATTTTATCATGACCGACCTTACTTTATTTAGTGCTTTGGAAAATTTTTGCACAGAATTATGCAAGGTCTTGTGCAGTTACAGTGGCGAAGTATGTGAAAGCACAGCTGCAGGTCTTATGTGAATGACAATGACCAGGTATATGGCCCCTTCTTACAGTGTGGTATAGAAGGTTAGCTGGGTTGAATCTTTGTTTAGTCTCCAGTGACATTAATTGCCACTTGCGTGTGAATGTGATATATGTAATTTCCTCAGCTAACAAGTGCATTACCTTCCAGGTGGGCCCAAGGGGTCCTCTGCCGGTCTTAGCTGACTTGAACTTGGCAGGGTCCTCATCCAGCTTGTAGTCCTACAGGAAGAGCAATTTCTATAATTAATACAATACATAGCACATTATATTTAGCTGTTAACAAGCGGAGGTAATCTGTATGACTGATTTTAACGTTTATACATGAATAGTGCTACACCATGACTTGAGCAACAGATAGACACCTTGTTTTATTTGGCAAGGAAGTATGAAGATTTTTCCAATTTTTGAAAAAAAAAAAGAAAAGAAAGTATGTTCAGATATACAGGGTCACCATAAATTTTAATGGACAAAATTTCTAAACTTTTTCATGACTTTTCAAGGACCTATAAAAAAATATTTCTATGACAACGTATAACACAAACACTGCTCCATCTCAAAAATGCAGTACAATTTAAAAGTATAAGTGGGGCATGGCATAGCGATGGTAAGCAATGGGATTCATGATCCAACACCATATCAAGTCCAAACTATTCCAACATAATTCCAGTTAGCTGCCATAGATGGAGAAATAGACGGAGCGTGGGGGAAAGGAATGAAGATCATGACCATCATTACACGCAACAAAATTCCACAACTTCTCTAAAAATTAAAGAATTTTACTAATTGCATGACTTTCCAAGGCCTGGAAAACACGACTGTGAAATTCCATGATCTTCCATGTTTTCCATGACCATGGGAAGCCTTAATAAAGACATAATTTTAGTTTTTTAAAATAACCACCAATTTCATATCAGCATTCAGTAGGTTATAGAAATGGCAGCGTGTTTGTCCTATGCTACTGTTCACTCACTGTGCTTTAAACGAAGCAGCACAGCAGTCACTGCCAGTGAAAGGCCAAAGAGTACCGCACTCATTCTCCAAAACCTGCCACCCCCCTGGAGATAATACCATGCAGCAAGGCCAGAGCACAACTCAGCCTTAAGTGGCAAAGAGATAAAGGAGTGTCTATGGTGCGTTGATGCCACCAGCAACATCTGTTTAATTAGGCGAGCGTTGGTGCCAGTTCATACGTGATCGTGCTTGCATCTACCTGCATGTATGCTGACGCAAGTTTCTGTTGCTGCACACCAGTACGTGTGTGTATGCCTCAGTACAGCTGCTCTGTGACAACACTCCCTTCACTATGCATACATTTTTACACAAACAGACACACACAGTCATGTCATGCTAAAGCTATTTAAGTGAACTAACCACTTATTCCCCATTGCATGGATGGATCTTGGTCCCATGGCAAAAAGATTTTTAAAGCATATAGAAACATACTGGGCGCATATGCCAAGCACATGAGCACATGACAAAGCGGACTTTATAAAACAGGCGAGAGAAATAGTAATTCAAATAAATGAAATGGCTTTCAAATTATCAACAGCTCAAGGGCCCAGCAATTTTAAATAAATCATGATGCGCCTGCAGCTAAAAGCTACTTTTCAGGGCTATCGGCCAACAGGAGGGTGCCAAACATGTGGAAAGAGATAGAAACCCACCCTTACACACACACACACACACACACAATAATTTGGCTGTTTTAATGCTGAGAGCTCCATCACTATAACAATACACTGTGCTGCACTAATGAGGTCTGTGAATCGATATGCCGTGGTAGACGAAAAGGAGCTACTCCACAAGTAAAACAGTGTGTGCAAGAGTGCGAGTGTGTTTGTGTCGTGTGTGTATTTGTCTAGTTCCGGCATACGAAGCACTGTGAGCCTTAATTACACTAACAAACTCATCGGTGCTGGCGGTACGCCCCAGGCCCTGCAGCCATGCCTGAGGCTGAGGGCTGATAGGGTCCTCAGACACAACACACTCCTCCAGCAAGGCAAACACCTCCGCCTCGTTAACTACCCACCACAAACAAACACGTACACACACAGAAACCGATGCTTCTCAGCCAAATAGCCTCACATTCTCGAACACACGCACACACACACACACATACACATACACACATACACACTGAAATGAGGCAATGTGATGTCAAATAACAGCAATAATGTGTAACATCTTCAAATAAGATTTCAGAGATTTCATGAGCATCAAAAACTCATATTTATATTTTGAAATATTATTGAGGTAATCTTGGGATTCTCAAATTGGGTGTATACTTCTTAAATGCTTTAAAAACCTTTCAAGCATGTGTTGATATGTTAGATAATTCACGCTCATTCAAAGCATAATTAAATTAATAAATCAATCTTTTCCAACTGTCCAAAGTGATTTGCTGCCAGTCCTTGCCTTCCACTGTCTGCCAGACAGGTGTGTGTTACACGGTATTTCATCTTCTGGTAATACACTTCACTAAAATACTGTATAATTTGCCGCCTTGGATCCACTAGCTCCAATACAGATACGACATGTACATCGCAGTATTCCAGCACTGTTTAGTGAGTGGGTTCAAAGGCTAAAATAAAAATAACTGCATTGCTAAGCAAGTTCATTTTAGTAGAGAAGTAGTGAGTAGAACAATTAATCAATTAATCAGATGATCAACAGTATATCAATCAAATTTTAATATTGCCAGCTTGTTGAGGTAGTCTGTCAAATTAAAATGTCAAACATTGGCAGCTTCTCTAAAGTGATGATTTGAAGGTTTTTCTATTTCAAATCATTTTTAAAAAACTAATTTTGAGTTTTTAATTGAATGATGTGGTCCTCGGCTCTGGGAATTTGCAATGAGCTTTTAGTCATTTTTTCCTGATGTATTGATCACACAAAAAAAAGCATACAAAAACTGTATGCTGATCTGCTGGAAACATACAACTGTACAACAATACAACTGTACAACAATACTTATCAGTAGTAATTCTGTTCCTATTTATTGATTCTACAAAATATCAGTAAACACTGACACTATTTCCAAAGAAAATTACTTTTTTTTTTTTTAA